CTCTACCCAAGGATTTTTCTTTTTTCAGAAGATGTCTATAAAATGTGCTCTATTCAAAGTATTGTAGACTATCACTAAGACAACCCATTGCTGAGGAAAGCAAACATTCATATCCTGCACCGTAGAAAGAGTACTTATACTAATATTTACAATAATGATATATACCATTTTTGCAACTGTTTGACATTGTTGAGTGTGTATAAACTTGTGCCCTGATTCGTTTTCTTCCTGGCTCAGATGAAAAACCCCAGGCATTTCTCTGATTTCATCCTCCCAAAGTACTTTGTTTCTCTTAATTAAATTTTCTTCTGATAATTAGAGACACTTTCTCCAATTTTCCAGAGTTACTTTTAAGTCTGATCCCATTCCGACCTGTGAAAGTGCTTGGATACCCCACTTCCCAAAAACCAAAACACCACTGGCTGCTCCTGTCAGCTCAGGGTCTTTTCTTTCAGCATTGCTGACCCTAACGTTCCCAGGCCGCCTTTTGCCCCTTCCACCTGTCTTTGTTCAGTTCCAGTGGGGAACACATGAGACTGGATGACGCACCTGGCTGGATTTTAACCCTTCTGCTGTGATTCAGTGCTAACACGTGGGCCAGGAAGTTTCAGCAGCTTTAAAAGCACCCATTTTTAAGGGAGGCTTGGCTGCTGGTCTGTAGCAGGCCTGCCGCCCAGAGGAGGCTCCACCTTACCCATTTTTAGGGGCGCCTTGCCTGCTGGTCTGTAGCAGGCCTGCCGCCCAGAGGAGGCTCCACCTTGGCGGCTCCATGCTGCCACCCCCTGGCAATGGGTGCCCTGAGCAGTGGGGCCGGTCAGCTGCTGCCTGGCTGAGCTCCTTGTGACTGACAGGACCACGAAGAAAGCTGATGGGGCCTGTGCCCTCAAAGCAACAGCCCAGATGGTGAGGCAAAAGGCACAGCCACCGGCCCAACTGATATCTCTGGGCCTTGGTTTCCTCTGCCTGATTGCCTGTGGTGACTGGACCAGGCAGTGACACCAGCTTCACTGAGATCTCCAAAAGGCTAGTGGGGTCAGGCTGCAGGCAGAGCTGGGTCTCCATAACCATCACGCAACCACCACCGGCCTGGCCAGGGGTTCTCCTGCCGCCCTGATACTCCAGTGGCCCTTGAGGGATCTCTGGTGTACAGCCCTACTACCTTCGTCAGTGACTGCTGCGAAAGCACAGCTTGGGCGGAGGGACATGGTATTCTGCAAAGCTGCTTCCCCTTGGAGCAAGCCTTGCCTCTGTCTTCATCCTCACCCAGACAGGGACACAGGGGGAGGCAGCTGTAGAATCATACACTTTCAGATCTACAGCCCAGCCCTCCTTTTTCATTTCTTGATTTACAAAAGAAGTGATGCACCCATCCACCCCAAACTGAGCCCCAACTGACCGCTGGAAGTACCTGGGCAGCTGCTGTGTTCCCCATGGGGCAGCACGTCCCAGCAGGGCATGGCGAGCACCCAGGCCCTTGGTTGGCACAGTGTCATTGGGGCCACTCTTGATTTGTACTCTTTCCAAGGAGAGCACGCTCGGGCCTGCTTCTGATTTTTAACATTTCAGCTGAGAACGGAGCTGTGCCGGAGCAAGTTTCTCTGGGATAAGAATAGCATCGGCCATCTTAGGACACAACACAGTTGTCCAGCTCCTCCACGGCAGCACGTAGCACTGAGATATAGAAGGCAACCTACCCGCCGAGGAATGTCTTCGAGTGCTATTAGTGGAAGCATGGCATCTCCACAAACAGGCATGACCCCACGCAGGAGTCTTGCAAGAGCAGGGCTATTCTGAGCTTTTGACACTGAGGATGAAGGGAGACAAATGAGGGGCTGATCCTGCTGGCATGGGCAATCTCCAAAGCTCTCTGCAGCCTTGTCTCCTCCTCTGGGAATGACTCTTGTGAAGGCTGATGGGCGATTTGGTGGGACCTCAGAGCCCAGGAGGCGGGGGGCCAGGAGGGAGCTGTGAATTTGCTGGGGACACCAGGCCAAGCCTCAGTCCCATCAGCACTGCCCAGCCGTGCTTACGGCAAGTCCTGCCTGAGGGTGTGCGCCTGTCCCTGAGCTTAGGGCACGCAGCTGCCTGCTTTATGTTCGACCACATCCTTGAGAGCTAGAGAGACACCAGAGGGTGTGTAACTGCGTGCAAGTGAAACACACAGGAGGCTAGAGGAAGAAACAGTTGACTTTGCAAACCAGAGTCTAAAGGCGGCTACGGTAGGGCAGAACGGACACAGCTATACCCTTGACGCGAGAGCTGCTTCTTCAGTGACTTGCCTGTCCGTTCCCACCGATGCCCTTTGTGACAGTTCTTTTGTACAAGTCATCAAAGAAACTATCTCCAGGTGTCACACTTACCAGTGTGGCCAGGAGCCATCAGCCTGCTCGCTCCACTTCACGCCTGCCGCCTTCTCTCTTCCCTATGCCTGGCTTTGCTGGCTGCGTTCCTTCATTCTGATGACACAAGCTTCCACGGTGGAGGCAATGTGAGGCAAAGGATGGTGCAGGGTCTGTAAAGCAGGATTTCAGGGAGTCTCAGAAGGTTATGTTTGTACAAGCCATTACAGCTAACAGGGACACTCATGAGATGTTGTGTGCCACCTAGACTCTACCCAGCGCCACCTGAAGCTTTGGAGAAGCCTGCAGGTGTGGCTAGAGATTCTCAAGCCACCCAAGAGGAGCAGTCAGCTCATAGGCGGGTTTGGGCAGGCAAGGCTCACCACAAGAGACCCTGGCTGTGGGGTGGCAGACCAATGCATGCTGTCAGGCAAGGAGAAAGACTGCAGGAGATGAGGAGGGATGAACAAGTTGGAAGTCTGCTAGGGAGCCATGGGGAAAAGTTGTGCAGTGTCTTGAGAAGGGAGGACTAGTCTGGCATCTCTGCAAGGTGTTGGGTAGCTTGCTTAAAGTCCTTGGGACTGAAAACTGAGGTCTGCTCCTAAAGAACCATCTCCCGTTGCTCTCTTCAGACAGCACTGGCAGAGGTTCTGCTCGCCAGCGCTCGCTAGCGCCGCTGGAAGCAGGCTGGACGTCCTTGTGAGAGCTGGTGCGCTGGTGGGGCTGCACACTTGGGAGCCAGGTAAGGTGGGAGCCCTTTGGATATTGCTGTCATGGGTGTACAGCCATGGAGCTGTCCGTTGCAACTTCCCAGCAGCGTGAGCATCTATTTGTAGACAAAGCCTCTGGCCTTGACTTCTACAAGCTTAGACCAAGCAGACAGTGGCAGTCCTTACCACTTCCCATCACCCCAAGGAGCTCCACTGGCAAGCTCTCCCTTGAAAACACTGTAAGCAAATCAAGGGGGAAAGCATTCGGGGGCTACCTGCCTCAGGTTTGGGCACAACCATTTGCTGCAGAGCCTGCCTCCCTTCGGCCCACCACACCAGCCCCACTCCCATCCTTGCGGCCCTGCTAGGCTCAGTGCTCCATGGAGGACCCACCTCTGCTTTTGAATACTAGCGCTTGTACAGCTGACAGAGGTGGAAAGCTGTGGACTGTCGCAAGCTTTCAACATCAACACGTACCCTGGCCTCTGCTCCTGAGTCTGCTTCTTGTTTCCTTCTAGCGCCAGCTGAACCTCACTCCTCAGTCGCTTCTAATGTGCTGCTTGTTCACTCCGCATTGGTCTGCATCAAGGGATCCTGCAGCCTGGAGTCAGCTGGGGTGACTGGCGGTGAACGCTTCAGACAGGCAGTGCTGCAACAGTGGGTGCAATTGTGTGAGTTGATATTGCTGGAAGGATTTCCAAATTAACTTAATAGCCCTCAGTTACCTAACCTGTCCTTGATTCACTGTATACACAGCCCTGCAGGCTCTGAGGTTTCTGAGAAAATCCTCCAAGGCTGTGGGGTCTCCCTGAAAATAAGGGACAGAAGTTACCTGGAAGCCAAGAGCTGTTGGTTCTATGAGAACACCAGCTTAGGCAGACATCTGCGGGCTTGTCTTTAACATACCTTGGCACTGTCCATGTGTCTTTCACCCAAACTGGAGGCAAGGCTTAATGCATCGAAATAATCCAGCTGAGACGGCTGATAGAGCACATGAGACTTTGCAGTTGTACGTGCCCACCGTGCCTCTGCTGTTCAGGTCAGGGTCTGAATGAAGGAGAAAGCGTCTGACAATTTCCCCCTTCCCTTCCTGCCTCATCCCTTTCCCTTCTTCCCCAAAATCTATTGGCTGTTTAGACTGTAGGTAGGCCAAAAGCGAGGTACGGGTATGTGAGGAAGGAATGGGAAGGTACACCCATCAGTTTCCTTCTTGTCTCTTGCTTCAGGCAATGCCACGTGCAGCCTGCTGTGCAAGAGGTGACAAGGCTGACCTTCGAGGTGATGTGTTGAGGAGGTGTGTTGGTGCCACGCCGTGCGTGAGAAAGGGGCTCTAAGGGGCAGTCCTTCCAGCCCATCACCCCAGGCAGGACTCAGTGTTTTGTCCGCTGCAGAGAAACTAGGAGCAGGTGGTGGCAGCAGCTGCGGGAATCTAAGGTAAGAGAGATGGCACAATTTAGGGGCACTATCGATGTGTCGCAACAGTGCTCTCTGTGCCGAAAATCGCCTCTGCCAAGGGACTCGTTCATGGTGCTTCTGTGACTTTTGATAACTTACTCGGAGACTGATATTTAGGGTTTGTGACTGCCAGGATCACAAACAAAAGCAGGGAAAGGAGAAACGAAAGGGATCACCCTCTCTGGCCTCTCACATGGGAAGTAAGCTGTGCTGCAAGGACAACGGGAGAAGCATTAAGAGTATGCGAGGGCAGGGCAAGGAGCTGGTGCAGAAGGAAGAGAGCATGGGCTGGATATCAGTAGTCTCCACAGGAATGGCCACGCTCTAAGTTTGCGAGTCCTCAGTCCTGAGCTTGCATTAGCCCTTCCCTAGCCCTTGCATTGCCCTTCCCCCAGCCAGGAAAAGTAAGAAAACTTGTTCTGCAATGCAATATCCCAAGCTTGATCAGAAAAAAAAAACACAAAGAACGCACTATTCATACTGTGTATGCAGAGGATCTACAGTCTTTATTGTCTAGACATTGATATGGGTACAAAGACTAATTGCAGAAGAAAGTGACCGAGAGGTTCACATTTTGTGCAGCCCTCAGGTCACTTTGCTGCCTCATGACATCCTCACTCTTCCTCTTCTATCTTCCTATGAAACTCCCGGCTTTTGACTCGGAGCTTGTTGACCTGCGACTCTGCAATGTCAGCCCGCTCCTCGGCTTCCTCCAGCTCATGCTGGATCTTGCGGAACTTGGAGAGGTTGACATTGGACAGCTCCTCCTGTGTGGGGAGAAGGAGTCGGTGGTGAGGAGCCCAGGGCAGGGGTTTCACTCCTCCTGCGCCTCGGCCTTGCGGGGCTGTGGCTCTTCCCTGGGGGAAGGCACAAACCTCCGTCCCCCACCCACCACTGCTTACACATAAGCCTCACACAGACCTCCTCATCCTCCCCTTTTTAGAAGATCCATTGTAGACAGAGCACAACAGGGTTTGAACATAATTCTGCTCTGGAATGTGGGAAGGAAACAAACTGGGCAGCTGGAAGTCAGATTTTGTTAGCTCTGGAATTAAATGTTCAACTACCTCTGCAGACCTTGAGATGGGGTTAGGAATTTATAAGAGATGGTGAGTCCGTGAGATCGCCTCAGTGTCCCTCTCACAAATCCCCTTATCTGAAGCCCTTGTCTGTACTGGACTGGTTGCAGCAGCAAAGAAGCCATGCTAAGACATTCATCAATCCAGGGGCTGCAGGACTTCACTCCGTTCATCCCAGAAAAAGCATGCCCAGAAAAAGGCAAAGGCTTCTTGCACAATTCTAAATGCAGTACACAATGTGGCTTAGGAGTGTACTTCCAACATCTTCTCTAGCTGATGAAATTTCCCTGACCGTATCCAAAATATGGAATTCCCTGTAGTAGATTAGCATATGCTGAATCAGAAGGATTTCTTATGCAACATTTTCTGTGTTCCTAGGCACAGAATTCTGGAGTTTTGGCAGGTCATTTGCTTCCACGTAACTGCCAAGCTTCTCCAAACTGCAAGGGTCACAGGCAACTTTTGTAAAGATAGTTATATGAATTTCAAAATTCTGAAAATATGTTCTTTTCAAAACTTCTTAATATATTGTACTATCAGTATTATTATTAAGAGCTCCTTCTTACAGACCACTTTGTGGTTCTAATGCAAAACAATATTTTGTGCACTTGCCCTCCTCATTAGCCTTGTTATTTGCTCATTGATTTCATTCTCAAAGGCTAGGCTAATTTATAAGCATTTCAAAGAGCTTGAAGTCATCCATTATTGAGCAGTGGCACTTCCCAAATTCCTTATATTCATCTGCTCAATGACCATGCTACCAACTTGGGAAGTGTTTCTTGCCAGGCACTCAGAGTGATACTTACAGCCTCTTCAGATTGTCTCTTGTAGGATTTCACCTTCATTTGCAGCTTGTCCACCAGATCCTGGAGCCTGAGAATATTCTTTCGGTCTTCCTCAGACTAGAGTGGTTGGTAAGGAGGAAAAAGACTGAATTGCATTCCCTACCATGTGAGTTAGCAATTGCCCTTGGCAATCAAGTGCAAAAATTTTTAATTCCTACAAGAGAATATGTCAGCCCGCAGAGGCCTCCTGCCTTACCTGGTAGGTCAGCTCCTTCACCCTCCTCTCGTACTTGCGCACACCCTTCACGGCTTCAGCGCTGCGCTTCTGCTCAGCATCAACCTCCCCTTCCAGCTCTCGCACCTGCAATGAGAAGCCCATCTTTGGAGCTTCCCTGCTGGCTGCTTACGTGACATGTTCACTCATGCACAAATAAAAGCTCTACGCACTCTGGCCTCCAGCTTCTGGATTTGCTTCTTGCCTCCCTTCAGTGCCAACTGCTCAGCCTCATCCAGACGGTGCTGCAGGTCCTTCACCGTCTGGTCCAGGTTCTTCTTCATCCTCTCCAGGTGGGCGCTGGTGTCCTGCTCTTTCTTCAGCTCTTCTGCCATCATGGCTGCCTGATGAGAGCAAAGGGTCAAAGCCATTTTGGGGCTGCAGACAGTTTGCAGAGAAGGTACTTATCTCCAGCAGTGAAAGGAGCCCCCAACTCACATCTGTGATGGCCTTCTTGGCCTTCTCTTCAGCATTGCGGGCTTCCTGGA